ATTACACAATGAGATTCAAGAGTCATATGCCACTTTTGCTGGCTGCTATTTTTTTCAGGAACAATGGAGCAAGTGGACTTTGCTCATTTCCATACCAAGCAGCCTTTGAAGTAAAAAATAAACCCACCACCTCACTTCTAAGGCAGCTTTATATTCTGTCAAATGGGTGCCAGATTCAGTCAAAAAACTCCTGCTCCATGAGAACAGTACATATCATTTTATGAATCAAACTTTGCATTTTAGAAGATTTAGGGAATATTGATGATTCCTTTCATGAGACTTGCCACAATTTATTATCTCACTGGGGCTGGTGAGTGTGGTGTTGATAACCCACAAAGTGTGAGAGGGAACAGTTCGAGGATCTCACCAGATGAGGGCTCAACACTCCAGAAATGAAACCACCAGCTCAAGAAGAGGCTGGTGGAGGGAAGGACACTTGTAGGACCTGGTCCCTGGCTGCCAGTTACAGATGTCCAGTCTCACAGTGCACCTATTTTGCTTCCCAAGTGCTGCAGGAGAGTGCTGTGCTACAAACCCCAGGGGAAGGAGTCTGTTCCACACTTGGGCCAGGCACCCACTGACACATCTGGACGAGCAAGACCTGCAGTCATGCAGATCCAGGGTCTGTCCTTAGGAAAAGCTGCCCCAGAAGCCAGGGAGGGACCAGAAGGAGTAGTCCAAAGCATTTCAGGCTCTCTGAGAAGGAGAGTCTATGAATAGGTAATGCTGTTTCTCTTTCCATTTCAGTGGGCAAGGTAAATCACTTGCCCACTGCCACAGAAATAATCCCAGCACTGAAGTTAACCCAAAATGGGCAATGTGTTCAAATGAGGTTTTGGTCTGGTGTCCATTTCAAGTATAAAGAGAAGCAAATTGGCTTTAATGGAAATAAAAACTATAACTGCCGAGTCAGGACTGTAACATTTAGTTAAGTGGTTTATTATTTGGAATTAACAAGTGGATAGAATTGGTCTCATAACGACACTAGAACAATAAATCTGTGGAGTATGTGTGGAACATTGCCTTACAAAAGAGACCAGCCATCTGACACATTTCTAAAAGAAGACAAAGAACTGCTAATTATGTTAAATTTCATTTGCTACATAATTTAGACCATGACCTAGTGCTTCTAAAAAAACCTGTACAAAATGAGTACTTTTTACATCTCAGAGGCACATGAATACAAATCTGATCTATTTTATATATACACATGTACATTACAAGAAACCAGATGATCAAATGAAAGAAGTGTATATAAAAAGTGCCCAAAACATGATAAAATGTGAAAATAAAACATATCCTCACAACAGAGAAGTAAAAGGCACAAGTACTAAAATATGCAACCATGCAAAAAAACGTGAGTAGTCTGTGCAACAAAGAAAAAGAAATGGCTCTCACAACTGATTTTACAGTAATTCTCAACATGTCTCAGTATTTAAACATACATCAGTGCAACATTTACTGCCCTGTAGCATACTGAAGTGGTCACGGATATGAAATTCTTGGTTCCTCTTCTGTTGTCCTTTCTCCAAAGCTACGGACAAGGGGTTAAGTAAAATGGGGGTGATGTTGGGTGGTGTAAGACCACTGGGTGAGGAGTAAGTGCAGCCTTCCCTCTCCCCTTCTCACCTGCACATCGGCTGTGTCTGCCAGAACTAGGGCACAGCAGCCCTAGGGGGTTTGCCAGGGCAGGTGCCACCGTGCCCAGAGTGGTGATGGCTCAGATGCCACAGCTGCACCACTAACAACACCCACACAAAAGACATACAGATTCTAGGGGTAGGTGTCCAAACTCCACTACACAAGCCCATGCTTGTTAATATCCATTCACTGGGTTTAAAGTTCAAGTAAATGCCAACAGAACAAATACTGGGGAAGAATCCCAGACAGAAACAACTCTCCTGCGCGTTGGAGCAACTCGTAGTGCATTATCAGCCTGGCAGGATTCAGACCCAACACCTACTGCAAACACCTTCTCAGACTCCAAAGGTACATGCAAAGTCTCATTAAATAGAAGCCCACACATTCTTCAGCAGCAAACCACTCCTAGGGTCAGTACTTAGAACTCAAAACTATTGAGGAAAAACCTCAAGGATGCTGCAAAGAAACAAAATGCCAACCATTGTGGAACTCTATCCTTTAAACCAACCAGCTGTGTTACATCACCTGGCATGACCTCTTGACAATGTTTCTGGAGTAACAAATGGCTTGACAAGAATATGAGCATTGCTACTTACACCAGAAACCTCTCAGTTAAAGTTTGAGTTTTCACTTAGACCAATATAAGCCAAGCCACTGATTTGGCAAGTGTTTGATCAGCTGCTACTGCCTTCCTTTCTCGGAAAAAATCCCTCAGACCACACCATACAGTATTTGTTTGAAGAGAAAAACCACTGTATGCTCACTGCTATTAAAGAAGAAAAGAAATCTGTTCTTTTATCTGTAAATTCTAGTTCTTAGACTCATCACAAGCCACGAGCACTATGATGCAGGGTGTGAGCAGTGCCTGGTGTAGCAGCCCACAATGTGTGTTTATTTATCAGCCCTCATTTACAAACCAGATTAGGGAGCCTAAACACTGTAGGTCTTGATCTTCTCAGGAGAGCAATGCAGCTCTACCAAAGTAAATGGAGCATTGCTGCATTCAGACAGCAAAGTATTTGTTGATACACCTATCTTTGAGAATTAATAGTGCTGTGTTCAAGTCCCTACAGAGCTGGCTGAGAAACATCTGCATTTCTTCCACAGACCATGAAAGGAAAGTTGGCAGCAAAAGTGCTGGATGGGGTTTTTTGATACTTGCTACAAATCTGCATATTAAAGATAGATGGGATGGTTACACTTTGTCACTGTTGCACTTCAAAACAAGATAAATTCTCAAGCAGCTTGAGTCTTTAATAGAAGCTACTCAAAAAGCTAAAAAAATCTTCTGATGTCAAAGTAGTTTTGTACCAGAATCACTCTGACATCAAAACTAGGCAGCAGCTGAAAACTGAGGGCTGGAGGGAAGCAGCCAACATCAGAAAAATCTTGAGAGCCTACAATTCAGGCACTCTGAAGTGCAAGATTTGAAAGAGGTAATTTTTCTGCAGTACCTTGTGTGTGGGACTGACCTGTCCAAGGGCAACTTCCAGCCAAGGCCAGTCACTTTCCTTCACTGTACAGAAATACCTGCAGTGGCCTGCAGCTGGTTTAATCAGGGTATCACTTAGCTTTTCAGAATCTAAGGCTGAACGAACTAAAGAACAGATCAAGACACAGTACCCAGGGACTGTGTTTGCATCCTGAGGGTTTAACTGAGAAGCACAGGTTTGACATAGGAATATTTACTGGTTTGCACATTGCTAGAACCAGATGACAGCACATTTCTGTGCTGGAAGTTATTTACCCAGGCAAGTGAGGCCCTTGTTCCACCACCAAGAACACTGACAGAGGTGACCTGAGAGCACACAGGCAGCCCCAGCACAGGAGAATGTTGTGTCCCAGTCATTCCTTTGGTCCCTCTCTCTTTCCAGTTACTTTACACCTGCCTAATGCAGATACATAGAAACAATTTGTTTTCGTTTTCTTGCCTTCAAGAAAGTCTGATTTCAGTACATCCTCTGCTTCCCATCACTCCAGTAACACATCACTGAAGGCAAGAGCACAGAGACTGCAGAAAAATATATATATTTACATCCATAACTGAATACAGTTCTATGTATTCAAATTCAGGAAAAATGCATCACATATACACACCAAGATACATCAAGAGAATATGAGGGGCAAGACACTGCCAACAGCAAGAAATACACAGAAAAGCACAGTCACTGCTACTGTAATGTTCTTCTGGGGGGTGTATTCAATAGAGGAAACATCTCTATACACTGGGGAAGTCAGACACTCAGGGCCTGTTTTTCCATGCCAGTGCCAGTTGGTGTGAATCAGAAGCATGAAACTTTTACTTTAAAAAAAGGGCATGGAATAAAGTTTGTTCTTAGCATTCAACTATCCAAACAATTCCATAAGCTCCTGATATAAGCTACATTATTAATTAAAACGGTCCTAGCCCTACAGTACACAGATCCAGCTCTGGAGGACACAGGCACATGTTGAAGTCATCCCTATTTAAGGCAGATTTAAGCATACACTCAACTTTAAAGCTTATGTTCTGTCCCTCTGACTGCTATGAGCAGTTGCAGTACACACTTCAAGTCAAGCATCTGCACAGCTGCTCCTCTAAATCAGGATGTGCTCCCTCCTCAGAGCTGTGAATACCCATGTGCATGCTCAGTCTGGACTGGCAACTCCTGCAAGAACAAGCTCTTGCTTTTTCCTGCCCTACAGGTAACCCCACTCCTGTCAGACTGCTCTCCCCTGCTGGTCCTCCCCACAGCCTGCCCCAAAATGTCATGCTCAAAGGAGTGCAGCTCTCTGGGGTGGGAAAGCAACTCAGCAGGTAATGTCAAGGGCTGCTCATCCTCCTGCAGAAGTGACAGATTTCATGCAATTTAGTTTTGTTGTTTTCTTTTTTGGCCAGAACTGGAATGTGTTCCTTCAGTGAAACCTTTAAAATCAGGGTGAGGGGAAGGGGCAGGATCCCAGAATTCATCTTAATGGCCCACGAAATGCCCCTGAAAATAGGGGAACAGATGTGAAGAGCTCTTCACCTCAATGCTACAGGGACCCTGGCATAAAAAACACACATGCACACACGCTAAAGAGCAGCTGGGTCAGAGCATCCCAAAGCAGGGTCCAAAGTGATCTTACATCAAAAGCACTTTGTGCTGACAGTGGCAAACAAGTGGATGGTGATTTTTCACAAATAGCAACAATTCTGCAATATCTTCCTCTTCTTCCCATTTACTTTGTGTCTTTTCTTTTCCCACAGTTTGTTTTTTGTTTTTTTAATCCAATGTGTGGTTTAAGTACTAAAACTAAATCAAATAGGAAATTACACAGTCAGCACCAGTCAGGAACTGAACCTGGGTATGTCAATTGGTTTGTGGTACCCAAATTCCTGGAAGAACGAAGAAAAAATTCTTGCTCCTAAAGTCAGGGACACATCCATATGTTTCCATTGTATTGTTTACCTTTACAACTAGAGGTAGAGTCATTTTTGTCCAGTATCTAAAACAGCACGATCCAGTTATATTGTTATTACATTAATATACAGTATCCATCTTATCACAGGTATTGAAAGTGCATGGAAAAAGTCTAACCAAGCCAGTTCAATGACAAAGAACAGTGTACCAAACATCATATAAACACCCGCGCACCCACACTCACACCTAGTGTATATATATATTTATAGACTCATTTACAGTATCAGTGTTGTTTAGATCCAGTGGCATGTGCAGAAATATCAGGCAGTTGCTGCTTTTCCTTCCCATATTCTCTTCAGTTTTTTATTTCCAAGATAGAAGGGTTGTGGTCCAGGATTGCCAAAATGATCTTGTCCATATACTGTCGCAATCTGTAGTTGATCTCTTCCTGCTCTTTAAGGGCTTCCATGAGCTAAAACACAACATTTCCAAGTTACTCTAAATATTCTCATTAGTTTAAGTAAAGAGCATGAAGTTCAAACAGGTGGGAGACCAGTGCCTGCTCAGAGCAATGAGGCTGGGGAAGGGACTGAGCACAAGTGGCATGAGGAGAGGCTGAGGGAGCTGGGGGTGTTCAGCCTGGAGAAGAGGAGGCTCAGGGGAGACCTTCTCACCCTCTGCAACTCCCTGACAGGAGGTTGGAGTCAGGTGGGGGTTGGTCTCTGCTCCCAGGCAACAGCAGCAGGACAAGAGGGCACAGACTCAAGCTCTGCCAGGGGAGGGTTAGGTTGGATATCAGGAAGAGATTTTTTCCAGAGAGAGTGCTCAGGCATTGGAATGTGCTGCCCAGGGAGGTGGTGGATTCCCCATCCCTGGAGGTTTTCAAGCTGAGACTGGACGTGGCATTAGTGCCATGGTCTGGTGACCATGGAGGGCTGGACTCGATCTTTGAGGTCTCTTCCAACCTGGTTGATTCTATGATTTTATGATTCTAAGTTCCCACCCTGTATCTGCAGTTTCTGACCTTCATTTTGATTATACAGGAAAAATGGCACTTCGGCTCTGCTAGAGGGAATATACAGCTCAAATTTAGATCCAAGTGAGAGCTTGTTACTGAAGTAACTTAGAACTAAATCTAGAACAGAAAGTAAAAATTCAAGTAACTAGCTATAGTCATTTCTATGTGAATTAATGTCATGCTATCACAATATTCTCTAAGACTGAAGATGTTAAATTTGTAAAACAATTCATTGAGATTCTAATAATTCCAATTTTTTGAGGGAAAAAAACGGAAGAGTTATATTAAAAGGAGCATCCAAACCCACTGTTAGATTTAAGGCAATCTTCTGATAGTCTTCAACTCCTAGCAAAGTAGAATTTTCTGTTGTTCATTTGTCAACTTCAGATAGTTCAACCCTGACAATAAATAACATTGAAAAATGCATATTCTTGGATGTAGTACTTGATTAAAAAAGCACATTACCTCATCTCTTGATGCAGAATCAATTTCAGCAGCCAGTGACTGAGCTTTTGTTTGCGTTGCAAAGAGATTTTTAGCTTCATAAAGACTGAGACTTAGGATCTGTCCATTAAGGTCATCATTTTGGTCACGAAGTTTCTGATTTTCCTATTTCAGGATGAAAAGACATTGCTCTTATGTTTTTCCTAGAAGGTTGCATCAAAAACAGATCATATTTTAACCTCACAGGTAGCCTGGATGACATATGGTAAGGCTGCAAGCTACCAGCAGCTCTTGCCTCCAGTGACAAGCTCTCCCTGCCTGAATCACACCTTGCTATGGCACAGTCTACACTGTCAGTGCAAAGTCCTACACAGATCTAGTTTGGGTCTTGTGCTTGTGAGGGAGAGGAGATAAAATCTAAAGGCAGTGTGCTAGGGGTGCAGCCTCAGGTGTTTCTCAAAGCATCCTCTGCATTTCCTGTGGACCAAGAGACCTTTGCTCACCTGCTTCAGCCGCTTTATTTCGTGCTCCATTTCCACCTCTCTGGTTTTGGCATTGAACTCACTCACACTGGATGAGGAACTTCTCCCACGTCCAGGACGCTCACATTCCAACTTGTACAGCTGCAAGTGCTCCAGTTCCTTCCTCAGGTCTTCAATGAGCTGTGGGTAGGCAAGCAGGGCATGTCTCTCCAGCACAACCAGCACGCCCTGCAGCCAAACCATCCCTGTGCTGCTCTGCTGTGCTCAGACACCAGCACTGGGTGAGCCTGGATGAGGCTGGAGACTTTTACAACAAAGCCACTTGCTCTTCCATGGAAGCACAGGTCACTTAAACCCCTTCAGAGCTGGAAGGGGCTCTGATTGCTAAGCTCATGTCCCAGAAGCATAACTCCCCTTGCAAACACAGGCACACATTCCAGACTGCAAGTTCTCAAGGAGTTGCAAACCCTCTGGGTCAGGGATTGCTGGTTATCAAGGACTCTGGCAGCATTCACTGCCCTATGGGCACTGCCTCCCACAGAAACCCAACCCAGCAACACATTCACTGAATTCTGGAGAATTCACAGGCCTTCTCGGGGCTCATCCTGTCTATCTTTCATGCAGATGATTTGCAACTGTCTGGTCCTACATCCCTTCACACCTACCTCCTGCGTGGCCTCCCTCTCCTTGTTAAACTCCAGCCTGTTCTGCCGCAGCTTGTCCATCATCCTCTTGTACAAATCCATCTCGTCCTTCAGCCTCAGACTTGTGTCTTCCAACCGATCCGACATGCGTTGCCTTTCCTAGAATAAATGGGAAGCTTCACAACTAGTCTGAAGGTGCAGGAGACACCCTGAGTTTTACAAGCCAAATCTACAGACACAGCTGGTCATGAGCTGGTGTGTGTCTCGGGGCAGACCAGTGTTCCAGTTCCAGGAACAGTCTTGTCTAGAGGCAGCAAATAAAAAATGTCAGGCCAAGCACTATGTAAGTTTGTTCAAGGCAACAAATGAAACTGCTGTTAAATTGCCCAAGCACTCAGGAGTTTTGTTACCTCATCCAATCTCTCTGTTTGGGATTTCAGCCGGGTGACAGTGCTTTTCAGATCACCATTCTCATCCTCCAGTTGCTGAACCCTGTGTTAATAACAACAATTTTACAGCAAATATCTCTTCAAAAATGCTGACATGCAAAGCAGCCTAAAAGCCATTTCACTTGCACTTGAGAAATCTCTCTAATCTTAGCACATTGTAACAGGAGCTATTGGGTGCTGTTTGCTTGTTTGCTTTTAGGGTCCAAAATGCTACGCTGACCCTCAGACTCTTGTGCTCCTTACAGGTATCTAAAAAAAATTGAGGCAGAAGAAACAAATGCATACACAAGTGTTTGCTACATCTGGTCACAATTCCCTCCTTGAATCCCTGCCAAATATCCAGCTAAGCTGTCTACATGGGCCACGTGGATTAAAGCATTAATGTAAAGCATCCTCCAAGCTTTTGGGCATTAGACACGCAACTGCACAGCTACTCCAGAGACCTGCCAACCTGCAGCCATCTGTGCAGGGCCTGGGGTGCACACACTGTGCTCATGTGCAAAGGGAAAACCAAGAACAGACGACCCTGCTCTGTTCTGGGTGGCACCAAGAAGTTAGTTACCTTGTATTTAGCAGTTCAATTTCAGTGCCTTTCTCTTTTTCATACTTGCTGTAAGCTTCTCTATGTCTTTTTATCTCTTCTTCCAGGGTCTGTTCTGCTGATGTTTCTTGGTCTTTCAATAGTTCCTCCAGCTCATGAACTCTAAGGAAACCAAATCTCATTTCAGTAACAACTTTACAGCCTCATTGCCTCTCTCTTTCCTGCCCATGACTTTATTTCATTCTACTTCACCATCTCTCTTGGCATTTAACCTCTCCCAGTATCTCTCCCAGTATTTAATCTTACCAAGAAGCATAGAAATAAGTAGTATCAGTCCATCTATCACTCTTTTACTCTCAGTCTCAAGAAATTGGGACTATGGCCCAGACTTCTGCTCTTGCTAGAAGGAAGAAAAAACCCACAGCAGTGGTAACCTCTCTTATACCAAGAGCTTGCTCTGTACATGTCAGTAACATCTCTGTACTAGGAATCCTGCTTGGAAGGCCTCTGCTTGCTGAAAATTCAGCAAGACAGCTCTACTCCACTTGGACTTGTCAGATTAAGGCTTATCTTACTTCCTTCATCTGTCAGCCTTAAGGCAGAAGATTTGGTCATACTCTACAAGTAGAGATGTTCCTTCCCTACATCCGAGTTCTAGCTTTGCTCTGACATGAGAGACCTGGCTCTGTGCCTTGTTACCTGTGAACTAGCTGTGTGTTCTCTTGCTTCAGTTTGCTCTTCAGGTCACCATTTGTCAGGCTGTCATTCTCCAGTTCTGTCACCTTCTTTTCTAGGTATGTTACCTGGAAGGGGAAGTGGAAAACAACTGAGAATTTGAATCTCTTTTCAGACACCCTTTCAACTGTTCCTGACTGGAATTTAACAGTTCTACCCTTTTTAAAGGGTTGAAATGAAGCTCCTAAATTCTCAGTTCTCCAGACCCTTCATCCTCCTTGAAGGTGATCAGTGCAAATACACAATGAAGAAGTACTGACACAATCCCTAGATCTGTACTTGCACAGTTCTTGCACTATTGTGAAGCAAAGTTGCAACATTAATGGAACGTCAAGGACATTCTGAATGAGCTTCTTCAGATCATGGGTAACTGTGAGCAGGAGCTTTGTCCAGTGGTGCAGGTCTCCTGCAGGTTTGGTCAGGTGCATTAACCACAAGGCACACAGTTTCTCACCTTTTCAGTGATATCATTGTCACAGGAGTCTATACTGTCTCTGAACAAGTCTTCTGTGCTGCCATTACTGCTGCTGAAGTTACTGTTGTGGAAGAGCTGCCTGGAAGATCAGAAGGATAATTATTTTGCTTGATGAGGATGGAGGACAAAGAGTCTGGCTGCAGGCTTTGAACATCCCATGCTAAAATCTCTGCAATCATTTCAGTGACAATTACAACTGGTTAAGCACAAGTCCTACAAGAGACTGGTAGCTAAATGAAGTCATACTGAGCACAGTCAATGACATTAGTTCTAGGGAGTGAGTTCTTTGTTGCTTTTGATAGGATCTGCCACCAGCATTAACATAGTTTAAAAAATACTTAGTCTTACTCACATTATGTACTGAATTGTATTTGCCTTATTAAAATTTTAAAATAAGGTCATCACTGCACTGGTTGGTACAGCTAACCTAGAAAATGTCATACAGGAAGAACTTTCAAAACCAGGAAGAGATACATCTCCAGCAGCTCTCACTGCAGAACAGTGTCAGAATACACCACCCTGGAGATTATCTAAAACGCTCTTGAACCTTACAGCCCTCCCCAGCCCAGGGCTGGTTCAGCCAAAGGAAGATGACAATTCCACATGTCCTTTTTAGAGGGGTGATCTAGCTTTCCTTCACATTTTGGCAACAACAATAACCCACATTATGAGGGCTAAAGCAGCAAGAGCTGTACTGATGGAATAGCTGCATAAAGGAAGAAAGTTGGCAGACAGGGAAGCAACTATCTGTGTTTTTAACTGAGCTCCTTCCAGTTCAGGGGTCTGTTCCAAGACTAGCAGTGGCTTCAATATTCTTTAGCATCCCTCCCCAAACACAGGCCCCTTCCCTTGAAAACTTATCTTGGCACAATTTTGTTTTTCTAAACTTGTTCTTACTCTCTTCTCCCACTTATGAAACTATTACAGCTGATTCCACAAGTATTCATAGAAAAGTTGAAGACTCTTACCTTCCAAAAGCTGTGCTTGATATTTTCCTGTTAGGGCTACACGGGTACAGAAGGAATGATACAGGAATTAAACGTTTATTTATTAAATTTTAATTTAAACTCCAGCTGAATTGCACAATGAAGCATAATACTGATTTTTTTAGCTAAGTCAAAGTTTGATTCTGTGAACAACATCCTTAAACTTCATCAAAAGCTACAGTTACCAGCAATGCAAAGATGAGTGAAGCCACAAATTACCGTGATCATTAATAAGTCAATTTGCCAATACTGTTATATTTAGCAGAGATTTGTCAGTGTCAATCAGAGCAAAACTAACATTAGAAACACCACGAAGGGACACCGAGTTAGTGATGGACATTCACTGTGGATTCCCAGTTTTTAGATGATTTTATAAGCAGTTAGTTTCTCTTTCCCCATAATGCTTCCCAGTTCAGCAGAGGAACTGAGGTGCTTTCCATTTTCAGCTCCCTTTCGTAGCCAGAGAGTGGCGATCTCGAAATGAAGCCCCACACTGCAGACACCAGACCTGGGGCCAGACCAAGACACCCAAGAGATGTCCCAGCTCTGTGTACAGACACAGCCTCCCTCCCAACCTTCCCAAAGCCCTGGTGGTCGTGGTGTGGGTGTTGGCAGGAGCTGTTGTCTGTGCTGGGCAGGAGCTTTGTCCATACCAAGTGCAACACTGCTGAGCCATCAAGAGAAGCAGCAATGCCGCGAGTCCATCCCAAGGACTGTGCTGATGGCAGGAACCACAGTCAGATTCTAGAGGGAGCTAGAATCCCACCGAGTAATTCCCTTCAAAACTCCGAGGTGACTGTTGGAAGCACTGGATTCTTTCCAAGTGCTCAGCACAGTTTAGAAGTCGATGGAGTGGCAGAGAGAGAAATCTAAGGAAAAAGCTGAAATTGCAAAGAACCCCAAAAGTAGCTTCTGCAATAGGATTCATCATTTTTTCAAGTTCCCTCGAGCACAAAAAATAATTTCACAGGAATGAAGTGCCTGTGCTGACCAGCAGCTTTAGGAGAGGTGCATGTAAGGTTATATGCATTATCTAAGGATCTGCAGATCCCTCCTTCCCACCCGGGGAAAGCAGTAGCTAACCACAGATCTGCACTAAGCAGCACAGCAGATCCTACTTCCCGGGAAAAATTCCTGGAAATATCACTCTCACTCTGCAATCAAAGAGCTCATTAGTTAAAATATTTGAGTTTATTAATGCTGTCTGCACCTTAAGTCAGAAAAATACATACTAGCTAATAAAGAACAGCATTTTGGTTCAGACTAGATATCCAAGCCTAAATTTCTTACTGTTCTGCAGAACAACACGTGTAGGACAGAATGGGACACAGGAGAGACTTGCTCTGCCTCTTGTCCTGCTGCTCCCATGTCAAGGGGCACTGCCAAAAGCAGTGCAATAGGCTGCTTACCTGTTTGCTTTCAAGTTTTTCAGCCTGGCTTCCAAATCGTTGAGGAGATTTATCTTTTTGCAGCACTGTGAGCAGTAAACATCCAGTAACTCGCTGTTATAAACATGCCTCATTTTTCGGGGGGTTTGGCCAGCACTGTTTGCAGGAAAGGAGAGATGTTACTGGCTATAGTAACCAACCCACAACAGGTTTTCCTCTTGACTATGTGCCAGAGTCACAGATGAGGGACTTGAAGAGCCACATCTAACCACAGCTCATCTAACTCAGAGCTGATGATGGAGAATGTTAATCTCAGGGCAAGTCTACCTGTCTGGGCTGAGGCTTTTCAGAGGACACGTTCTGGGTGTCAGTGGAAAGAATCAGTCTGGGTGACCAGAGGAACAGAAAAAGGTATAGAGTCCATTGTGATGCTTGTAGCAGAAGCAGCTACACTAGTGTGTTCCACCTCTCATCCTGCCCATCTTCCCACTAGAGCCTGGCATGCAACCTGAAGAGTCTTTTCTCCAAGAGAAAGACAGGAAGATGAAAAACAGAGTGGTCTGGTAAGAAGTCACACCAACCCCCTCAGATGACAGGATGAAAGGAACCCTGAAATGAGGAGGAAGGAAGAAGTGGACACAGGTCTAAAGAGGAGATAACATTAGCTCTTGGCATGGTAAAGAGAAAATAAACTCAAATAAAAGAGAGCAATCATGGCATGAAGTGCACTGAGGCCCAGGAATGAGAATGGAAAGGGCTGCAGAAACCTGAGGAAACGGGATGAAGGACACAAACCACCAGCATGAAGGGGCAGTGGGGAGGGAGCTGGCTCTGCATGCAGGACAGAGGTGGCAAGGCTGAGCTGCAGGAGTGCTGCAAGAGAGGGTGGCACGTGGGGGCTGCATGCAGGACAGGAGAGGCAGTGAGCTTGTCCTGTGTTAGCAGTCAGGCACAAGACCTTCATGTGCTATTGATCCAAGCAGACAAATCCTACAGAATCTTTGTGCTCGGCTCTTCCCAACCCTGTTCTCCCATTCCCTTCCTTGGGAAAGGGCTGCAAAGGCTGAAACCGACTTGGTCACGGGACATAAGAGCTGCAGAGACTGAGGTCACATGCAGGAAACTAGTGCATTGCTGTGGCATTTCTAGCTTCTACGGACAGCAGCTACCTGCTTGTGTGTTCCAAGACACTCAAAGTCAACAGGATGCCTGTTTCAAATAACCCCCTGGCCCTATGCAGCACGTCCCCTCACAGATTAATGCCAAGGATTTGTAGTATCAGAACAGCTCTCCTGTAAGTCTTCCCTCTACTCTATCCCAGCTGGTGCACAGTGCTCAGCCTGTCTCCAGTGCAGCAGATCCCTTCCAACACTAGCCCTGAGCTGTGCCATCTATTGTCTGCAACAGAAAGAAATCTCTACAAGCAAAACAGCCCAATTACTGCAACAGACCCCAGCAGAGGTCATCAATGTGTTTGCTATAGCCCTTATATTAAATGCAGTCTGTCAATTGGAGGGCAGAAAATGAACTGAGAACATTTTGCTTTTAAGGTGGGTCTGTGTAACCAGTGTGAACTCCAGTAAGGTCAGAGAAGAATAAAACTGAAAAAATGTTTGTTAATGAATAAGGAGCAACCTGGAAGATACAGATGAGCCAAGGTCAGAGTAGGCGTTGGTTCTGGTCTCATCATCAGGGCATGGGCTACTGGGAGTAAAATCCACATCATCTCCTTCCCCATAATCTTCAAATTGTTCTTCATTACTGATCAGAGAGGCGGTGGAATAAGTGGAGAGGTCAGATGCTGCAGAAGGGTTGTGAGGACTTGACCTGAAACAAGAGGTCAAAACATCTCGAAGGCTGACCTGGACAGCACCTCACCCTACATGGAATCTTTCACCTGTACAGCTTGTCCCCTCAGTTGAAGCTGTAACCCAGTTACTCACTGCTAAAAACCTAAAGTGCTAAATGCATCTGATGTGCAATTGACACAGAACCTTGAAAGACAAGAGCATGAGAATCTACACAAAGCTACCTGTGAGACAGGTTTGGATCAACACAAACCATTTCACTCCTTAGAGCACATCTCAACAATCCTCAGTCATCATTTCCACACGGTGGTGAAGACCACGTGGGGATTTCTGCTCTGAATGCAGGAACTGTGCAGACAGCTCCAGATGCATGGGACAGTGAGAGGAACACTGTGAGACAGAGGCTGTCGCTCTCCTCCCCAAAGAGTGTCCCAGTCATCCACATAAACCCTATCCCACACCCCACGAGCTCCTGCACTCTCTTGTGTGGTCAGAAACAAACTTCAGCTCACCACACGCAGAGACACTGAGGCTAACACAGGCTGAGTTCCTGCCCTTCCTTCCATCATGACACAGTGTGTCTTTCAGAGGAGATACAGACCTCAACAAAGACTGTCTAACTACCAGAGGAGTACCTGAAATACTGACAGACGGGTAGGGAACGGCAGAACCCTATGACCTCAGAGAGAGAGGCCACACAGGAAAACAGATCAGCAGAGCCAGGCACCATAGGAAAGCAGCTGCAGAGTTTTGAACACATCACATCTAATACAACAGAGCAAGTTGGCTGCAGAGGGTGCACAGTGTTCTGCCCAGAGTCCAGGCTGCCCTGCACCCACGTGGTATACCTGCAGGGACAGGTATTTTACACAGGTTTGCTCAGGTCCCATCTTGGTAAGGCGTTCAAAGAGATAAGCCAGTAAATTCAAACATTTTACACAGGTTTGCTCAGCTCCCATCTTGGTAAGGCATTCAAAGAGATAAGCCAGTAAATTCAAAAACAAGTTCTTACAAACACACTTCTCCCTACAGCAAACACACAAGGAAGGCCTGAAGCTGACACCCTGCATTGCCCAACACATTGCTGCTCCCACTACAAAGCAGAATCCAGAGCCTCTGCAATACAGACCAGGCACTGATGGAATCTGCTGACACTCTGTGCAGATTGGCTGAAGTTTTTCTCTCCTTTTGCTTCAGTGCACAGTGCTTGTACCTTCAACTCCACTAGCTGAGCCATGGCACAGTAGCTTCTAGTTGATGCTGTGCTCCAGCAGCTCAGCATTTCCTTTTGAGTGTACCTTGAGCCTCTGAACCTCCCTGAGGGATATTCCTCTTCCCGTAACACTACACTGGTGTGCTGTAAACAAGAGATGCACCAGTGTTCCTCTGGTGCATGGTACAAGCTTTATTTGCATATCCCTTCCCTCCAAAAGCAATTAGTAGAAGAGGAAGCCTGCCAACATTTCAGATGTATGCTCTTTTGTTTCTCCTGTTTTGATGAGATCCATTTATAACCTGCAACTCATTTATCTAATTCACATTAACAGAAATTAGGGCAAGTCAAGGCTGGCACACTATTAAAGGATGGAGATAGGAATACTCACCCTAGAAATAGATCAAACTTACCTAACCAGGCTCCTTGGGTGGAGGATTAGTGAGAAGCTCAACGCATCACACTAACATCTATTCATGAAGTGCTGCTGTGCCATGGACATACTGTGTACTGGTAAGTTTTTGGGAGATCTTATGATTTGTGCAACTGCAACTGCTGTTTGCATCTCAGTGCAGTTACACTGTCAGTTTAGGAAGAAGCTCCTCATAAGACTTCTACCAGAGATGGAGGTCTAGGAATCTCACAGTCATTTGCAAAGGAGTTGCTAAAAGCAGCTGATTTTCCTCATTCTAACACTTTCTGAAGGAACATTCAGGTGTTTGGTGCTTTTCTGTTGTTGCTATTTGGTTTTCTTTAATCTGTTTGGTTTTTTCAAAGCTATCTCCTGTTCTTCAAAGCAGGATTTCACAGAGGGCTGACACAACTGATACACAAACCATCTGCTTCTTCAACAAGCAGTTATCATGGTTTGGCCAAAGTAAAAGTCACTATTGTCTCTTTTAACAAAGCATGAAGCTTCCCAAGTGTTTTCTCACAGATTTACCAAGGTTGAGGAGGCCTCAGAGGATAAACCAAGGTCTATTAGCAGTAGCAAAGTAGTTCTTAGTAGTTCCTGCCTGCCCTAGAAGGAGGGTCCAGGATGCACAATGCCCTCCCTGCCCCCTTCACAAGAGCCTGACTCGTACAGCTGGGAGGAAAGACTTAGCTCAAACTCAGTACAGGTAAAAGTCACCACAAGGAGAGGTGCTTTAGAGAACTGGGAATGGAAAGCAAAGGAGACAAGCTTGATAAAGAGCTGATGAAAACTGTAATTATCTTGATAAAGTCTTTGGGATTGCTTGGGCAAATGGGAAAAGGACAGAACTCAGGTAGCTGAGAAATTCAGGAGGAAGGCAGGAATGAGGCTGCACAGAGAGCATCCAAGGAGGCCCAGGAGAGAGAAGGAAGATTGCCTTAGCAATGAACGAAGCTCAAGAGGCACAAACCAAGACATGAAGCCAAAAATAGGGAAGACAGGGCAGAGGCTTACAAAGCAAGCCCCACTGAGCTCTGTCCTGTGATATGGCACTAACTCAGTTCAAAGCAGGATTAAACCAAGTTGGGTCCTTCCCCCCCAGTCACCTTTCACCAACACCTGAGATACACACCTGGGAAGAAGCAAGTTAGGATTAGAGAGACACTTGTGTTAACACCAAACTATGGCTACACACACACATGCCCAGACAGCCTGTGTTAAATACAGTTTACTGCTGCACACTAAAGGTTATGGAAGGTTAGAAACACACAGAATTAACTTGGTACATGAAGTCGCAAAGCAAATCATCCTGAACTGCTTTGCAGGAAGTATTTAATTCCAGCATGTAAAGCTTATGAGAACACAGAAGATCTAAGTTTTGGGGATGCTAATGTGGTGATCCATTCTGGAGGGGCCCAAGGCTCTCACTTCAACACACAACATGCAAGTCCTGTGAGTGCTCACAGAACATGCCAGAAGGAGGTCCTGGACATCCCTCTCCCTTACGCTGTAAATGCACGTTAAGTTTCTACACCCATCAGACAACCTCAGCCTCCCACAGCAGAATTAGTCAGATGAAGTCTCCTTGCTCCCTGACACATGCCTTACACCAGCACTGCCCCGGACCAAAGCCAGCACTCACTTGTCACCGGGCAGGAACAGGCCCCCAAGCACACTGTCCTTGTCCTCGCTGCGACACACGTCAGAGGCCTCTGAGCTCTGGGCACTCTCGATGGCACTGTCCATGTCAGACTCATGGTGAACCTCCTGCTGGGCCAGAGTCATCGCGTCCTCATCGGGGAAGAGCTCGCACTCACTGTAGGCGCTTTCGCTGTCCAGGTAGGCACAGTCCTGGATCTCACCACTCTGGCAAAAGAAGAACTGGGAGTCAATTTGAATCATCCCTTAAGGCAGTTAAGCAGATACAGGAGAAGCAATAACCCACTCTCTGGGTGCCCTGGTAAGCAAGAGTGCTACTGAACAAGGGCCATGAAACAGAGCTGACCTGCTCTACACAGCCAGTTCTGCAGGCCCTAAGACAGCCTGTGCCTCGCAGAGGGGACACATCCTGTCTCTGACTCCTCTACAGGAGACAAGGACACAACGCCCAGGAATAAAATGCAGTCAGTTTCACCCTAATTTACTAACAAACGGCACTTGCAGTAGTAAATATCCTCGAAGTTTTGTCACAACACCAGGCATCCTTTGAAAGAAGATAATACATGAGCCACTGAGAGTTAGTCCTGTGATGAATAGTATAGATTAAACAAAAGCAGACCAGATAAGCCTAAGAGGTTACTGTCTATGAGGATGGGCAGATGGACAAAAATACATAAGGTGAAAAAAGAGTTGGCAGGTGTCAAAATGTGTATGGCAAGTCCTGGTGATAATCAAAGATATAAGAGAGCACGGCAAAAAAAGCCAAAATCATCAGTTCCTGCTTCCTGGAACCACATGTCTTGATTAAATATCAACTAAAATAAGACATCATTCTCATTACTGCCAACTCTTTGCTCTTCCTGTTCGTCCTCTCCCTCCCTCCCCATTTTGCCCCATGAACACTCACAATAGCCAAGACAAGCTGGGTTCTATTTGCTTGTCACTGAGGGACAAATAAAAATTCTTAACTGAAAAAATAAAGGCTAAGATTTTCCTCTGTCCTTTGATAAGTAGCAACACAATGCTGCTTTGACAATTCCCAGGCAGCGTGACACAAATAACTCAGAGCTCCAGGGCGAGTCCTGCAATTGCTCTGACTCAGAGCTGAGCTCCAAAGCTCACCTGCAGCTCCACAGGCAGCCCGAGCCCGGAGCAAGTGAACACAACTCTGCATTTCACCTTTAGTTCCCTGGCACAAGGAATGAAGCATTTCATTCATGGATATACCTCATGTTTAGGCACAACTGTCATCCCACCCAGCTCCTTCCTCAGGAGTCTCAAGGCACTGGGATCCTGCACAGTGCACCACTGCCAGCACCTTGTGGTGCCAGTGCCACCACCTGCCCCAGCCTGGAGCCAAGCCCCCAGCCTGACTCCCCTGCTGGAGCCACGGAGCTCCGAGCCCCCCGTGCAGAACCAGGCATGTTGTGCTGAAGACACAAGTTGTTCTCCGTGGTTTTTTCACTTCAACATGAGAAGAGTCAAGCAGAAGCTGCAACGTTTTAAGATTTGCAAAAACTACTAGAAATGCAGGTCTCACACCCATTTTTTTCCTGAAATAGTAATTTATGTAACTGTGAAATCTCCCAGCATATGGAGGCTGAAGAAATTCAAAACAACCCCACCTGCTCAAACCTCATTAACTCCCCAACACCTGAGCAGGGAAATGAACAGCATTGCCTGCCGTGTTTGAATCTCCAGGTACACACCCAGAGGAGATATCAGGATGCTTTTCTAGCTGAGCTTCCAACAGATCTTCCAGGTGAACAAACAATGTCGGTGAGACACTTGGCACTACACAATAAGCACATGTGTTTGTGCCTTTTCCCACTTTTCTGTGTCAGCCTTATTACCTTTGAAACCTTCTGCAGGTATTGCTCTGACACATGTCCAGAAGGATTTATCCCTGGACTCTGCCTTGTAGTATTTATTGAAGCCACACTGCCTCATGCAATCAGGTTCACAGCTCTGAGCCACAGCACCTCGGCGTGGCCGTGACCCCTCATCCCTGCAGAGGTGGTTTGTCGGGTCAGGCACCAGATGTGGAGTTTGCCCTGGCCCTGCCTCAGCCCCAGGTTCATCAGCACATGCCCTGACCTGCACCTTGAAGCAGGGACAATGACACTGCTGCTCTCTGCAAAGTACACTGTGATCTACAAATAACACTGGCAATAGACCTTTTTAGTAGGTGTTGAAAAAGCAAAGATTGTTCAGAGCAATTAAAATGTTTCAGAAGTACCCGGGAGTGTTTGTTTATCTAACATTTCCCAAAAGTTTCCTCGCGCATGCTGAGCCCCACAGGCACAGAACTCCCATTTCTCCTAACAAGTTTAATGCAATGAAGTCCTGACTGCTGTTATGGAATTGCACCAGCTGGTAAAAGTCTGATCCAGGAGGGAA